AGCTGCTGCATCCCCTGGGTGCCTCAGCTGCTGTTGCGAAGTGCCTGGAAGAGACAACAGCTTAGCTCTGCCCTTTGGTTTTGGTGTTCTCTCCAAATTGGATGACAGAAGCTGTGCAGATGCTGTGCTCTGGATAATTATTTTTAAATGGGTTTTGTTTCCTTTCTCTGTTTGATACTCAGCACAAATATCCCACTGTTTTGAACTGAACGGTGCTCTTTCCACTTTTTTTTTTTAAGTAAATACTTCCCAACTGGCTTGTTGCAAGTAGTTATTGGGGCTAAAATATTGGTTTAGAGCTCTGCTTGGTTTCTGAATAGTCACCTGCTTATGTGCAATGGCTTCTCCTCTTTGATGGATGATCACGGTTCACAGATGAGGTTTCCAGAGCGAATGAGTATGTCCTCAATTTCGCACATCTCTGTTTTCAGCAGATGTTCTGAATTCAGCAGTTTCCTAGAATTTGCATATTTGTATCATATCAATTTTAGTGAATTGGGGTCACCAAAAATTGAGGGGGGTGGGGTGGAGAAAAGTGTTTATTGTTTCATTCCAGCTTTTGGAGTGTAGTTCATGTATATCGGAGACAGCTGGCCAAGACCTGCAGCAAATGGGCAGGGTGCAGGGAGGGAGGTGCAGGCTTCTTTTGGACTCCAGCTATCAGCAAGGTCTCAGGGAAATCCTGAGCTTTTATGGTCACACAAATAATCTCTGTGGCTTGGGAGGCTGTAAATGGCTTTAACTTGGTGACAGCAGCATCCCATGGATTATCTGGAAACCAACCATCTGGGCTCTGCCATGACTGATCTTAGTTTGTCTTCATATTGCTGGGGTGAGGACGAATACTTGCTACTGCTGGAGGGCCAGGGCATAGTGGGGAGACGGTGTGGACCTTCCGTGCTTGGTCTTGCTTGGGCTTCACACTCACTTGCTGAGTAACCTTCATAGCGCATAACAAGGACAGGGCACCCTGGCCTCTGAAGTGCTGAGGATCAGCTACCTGTTTTTTGGAAGGTGTTTGGGTGCAGAGGGTGAAAAAGGGTCCAGAAAGGAAAGGAGAAGACTGTTCCCAGCATTTGGCTGGCGCTGGTGATCTCTGCAAGCTGGTGAGAAACTTCAGATAGCTATCTGAAGTTCAAGATAGGTTCAAGATCGCTATCACGTCTCTTTCTGTCCCTCAGTGAGTAGATATCTTCTGCCTGTGTAAGTTGTTAGAAAAGCATTGGTAATGTGCTGGTGTATCTGCTGCTTTTCTGTTGCCCCTTGATGGGTTATCTTGATCCTTTATGGGTTATTAAGGATTAGCTGTGGGTTTTGCTCCCTACAAAGTGGAAGCTGTTGGGGACTGGGCTTTGAGGGCAGGGAGTATTTGGGATACTGAAGACTGGACAATTTGTGGGCCCTAACTTGTGATCCCAAGGCTGGGAGATTTATGGTAGCGGAGAGTTCCTTTCTCAGCATGGGCTCAGCATGGCTGCAGGGGCATGGAGCCCGGCGTGGTGGTAGCTGGTCCAGAGACACCTTAACTTGCTGAAAAATGGGGCAGATATTAGTCATGTTCTGCTTTATTGATTTAAGTGTGCCCATGCCAGAACTCTTAGGTCTTTTGGTTTGTGTGCCCAGTGTACAGCACAGTATGATTTTCCCCTGGTGTCAGATTATAAGTGCTTCACTGTAGCAACTAATGTGTTGTTTCTGTAAACTGGTAAAGGACTGCTGCTGTATGCAGGGGCTGGACCTCCCAGTTGAAAGCTGCTTTGGCTGACATGTTCTTGGGGCAGGAGGGTTGAACTGATTAACAAACCAGCAAAGCAAGGTTTGCTTTGCTGCAGTAACTTGCAAGTATCTGTGCTCCTTTCCTGCTTACAGGGAGAAGCTAATCCTTCCTGCCCCCTGCCCCCCCCCCCCCCAGCTCTGCACTCTCTTTTCTTTCTTTTTTGTTGCCTAGGCTGGAAAGGGAAGTGGAGGGAGAAAAACAGGTGTGACTGCTGGGATGCTTGGGTACCACTGCAGTGAGGTGTGAAGGCATGGAGAAACACCGGCAGTGAGGCACCTGGGTTGTGTTCAGTGCTGCAAAGGAAGCCCTGAAAGCAGGAATCCAGACTCTCTGGTTTCTCCTGTCCCTTTGATGCTGAAATTTTTCACTTGGAGACATCACCAGGCTACCATTAAAAATGGCTGCCATCTTGCAGCACTGCAGACTGAGGTCTGGTCTGGGAGATGGAAGACAAGCCTTAACGTGGCCAGGCTCGCTCTGGGTGTGATGGGTGCTTGTTTAGAGGTGGGAGGTTCTGAGGAGATCTGCTGTGACCTGTTTCAAGCACCTGAGAGGAGGGAGAGGGCTGGTCCCAGTCAGTAAAAGATCCCTAGATGTTCTTCTGCATCCTGCTACCTTTGCTCAGCACAGTGCTCCTCTCCCCCTGAGCTCACTTAGTCCTTTACATATTAAAGGTGTATTTGCAGGGAAAATGGTGGAGGGGAAATAACACAAACAGGCTTCAGCTAGCTAGCAGGAGATATTCACCACATGTGCTCCTGGGCTGCGTGGCTCATGTGCAGCTACCCGTCCCGGTTTCCTCTCCCTAAGTGCCAAGTGCCCAGAGCACCAGTCCAGGGGGTACCCTATGAAACAAACAAAAAAAAGCAGTAGCGTGCAGGAGAGGGGAGAGAGGGGTCTAAGCTGCTGGTGCGGCCTAGGGCTCACTGAGATAGCTCATCTCCTGTGAGTAACACCCTGCTCCTGCCTGAGCAACTGGCAGAGGACTCTGCAGGTGAGGCAGTCTGGCTCTTTATGCATCTCACAGGTAGTCCAAGGGCTCTTGTTTGGGAGAGCAGCTGACTCCTCCTCATACATCCGTTGTGTGTCTTACAACTCTGGGCCACACATACGTAACTGGTAGGATGAAGAAGGTTGTGTGGAAGCCTTGACAAGGGTTGTGTACATGTCCTTCTGTCCTGCGGGCTTTGCAGAACGGCAGATGGAGGGGATCTGTGTGCTTGGAGGGGCAGGGGAGTGCCAGAGCTCAGAGATGCCCATCCATGTCGCACTCCATGGTGGAGCTGAGGACCCATCTGCCCCAGCCAAACGCCACAGCTCTTGCTCGCAGTGCTCAGACTGCAAATGTTTCAACCTCTCGACCTGCACACAGGTGCAGAGTTGCTGCTGGGTTGGTTTGCAAGTAAACTTCCAAGGGTTAATGTATTGTGAGAAGGTTGCAAAGGGCTGAAGCCTGGAATCCCCTCGATCTCTTGCCTGGAGAAACACAAAGTCCAATAAGCCAGCACCCCTGGATTCGTGTTGGGGGGGGATTAATTCATGCACTTGATGTTAAAGCTTGTCCAAGAGGTTTGCACGGGGGGGCCATTGCTAGGGCTGGTTGGCCTCTCTAAATGGTTGCTAGGGCCCTGGCATCAAGGGCCAATGTAGCTGCCCACAGCCACGGTCACGGAGGGAATTACACAGCCACAAAGAAATTGTTATTCTACATAATCTGCTCTTTGGAGAGTGACTGTGGGGAAACAGGCTGGCCCCAGCATGCCGCCAGCTCTGTGATCATAGAAGCGTGCTGGCTGCAAAGATCGGCCAGGGCTCGCCTTCTGATCTGGGGACACCAGGGCTCGAGGCGCTAATCTGCTTTATCAGCAATTTCTCTCTCCTGACACAAAGGTGTTTACTTGTTTTAACATCTCCCGGGACTCTATTTCTCCTTTTGTGTGGTCTTTATCCCCCGACGAGGGCTTTAGCCCAGATTACAGACAGAATTAAGGCATTTGGCGATGTGCCTCAGAACTGTGTGATGCTGGATCAAGGAGCAGAAAGTAACAAAATAATGGGGGGAGATGCTGGGAGTGACCCCACTGTGGGATCCGTGCTGTCGGCTTTCAGGACCGCTTCATTGTCCTGAGAACCAAGAGCCTGTTGGAGAGGGGTGGCCGTGTGGCAGGGTTTGAAAAGCAGGTGCTTCAAGGTTTATTGTGTCCGGCATTTTTGATTTAGAGGGTGTGAGGAGGAGGAAGAAAAGGAGGGTTTGCAATAGGTGGCCATTTCAAGCAGCTGGAGCAGATTGTCCCCTCCATTCCCAAGAGTCTGCCATGGCTGGGTGTTGCTGGCTGCTGGGGCAGGTGGAGTGATAACTGGGGATGGGCTGTGCTATGTGCCTCATGCAATTTCATATGGCCCAGGGAAGGGGCTCAAGCTCGTTCTTGTGGTCTGGCAGGGTGGGCCCTCACCAGGCACCATCCTCCTGGTTGAGCTGCACATGAACAAGCAGCAGCAGAGTGGTACAGCCACAAAGCATCTGGCTTAGAGCTTCACGGAGATCTTGCTTTTGCTCTTTCACAGCAAGCAAGGAATTAAAAAGGAGGGGGGAAGCTAGCCTTTGGAAAGTCATCTCCAGAGCAGCCCTGGGGTGGTTGCTCTTGACCTGTCATGTTCAACCCCAGATATGGTGTTTGCAGTATGCAGTATAACTGGAGGGGGTTGAGGAGAGCAGCCATGGCGGACTGGGTCAGGAGAGTCTGATTTGCCTGTGGATCTGAGCTGTGTGTCAAAGATACTGGGGAAATACCCCAGTGGGCAGTATTTTGAAGGACTGGGTCTGGGATGGGATGGGATTGACCAGGTAAGTGGCTGTTGCAGATTATCTGGAGTTTGACGAAGTTGAGAATTGTCTCCTATGGAAATGGAGCCCCATCATTCTGAGTACTAGTCACTTCTCCCAAGGAAAATGATCCTGTTCTAGTGGGGGTCAGCTGTGCCTGTTCCTTGGCTCTTCCTCTTACAGCTGTGACTCCTGCTGGTCACCCTCCATGACAGTTACTGGCCCAACCGGTAGCAGAAGCTGGGGCGGGGAGAGGAAAACCGTGCAGGTTTTTGCATTCTGTTAAATCACAGAAATGAGATCTAGGAGACTTCTGTGACACCATCTCTGCTCTGGCCAGGTGAACTGGAAGGGCACTTTTGCTCTGAATGACTCTTCCCCTGTTGTGTTTCGTTGCAGTGGTCAGCTGTTGACCTGTTTAGGGACTGACTTCCACCGTGGAGCTGGAGTCCTTGATGTCTTCTATGAAACGCCCTCCCTTCTCCTTTCTTGTGGGTATGACACCTACATCCGCTACTGGGACATACGGACCAGCACCAGGTGAGCCTACCCTGCTGCCCTCAGGGGCCTGCGTGAGGCTCCCGGGCAATCCTTGTGCAGTGTCTGTGGACTTGCCTGCAGCTGAATTAGCTCCTTCAAGCAAATTGGGCCTCAGCTCCAGTGGTGGAGGAGTGGAGGCTCAGCCCCGCTCTGGTTTATGTTGCCCTTGCAGGAAGTGCGTCCAGGAGTGGGAAGAGCCCCATGACAGTGCCCTGTACTGCATAAGGAGTGATAAGAACCATATGATTGCCAGCGGCTCTTCTTACTACGGCGTGGTGCGCCTCTGGGATAAGCGGCAGACCCAGTGCCTGCAGGTGAGGGCTGGCCAGAGGCCAGGCAGCAGCAGAGTTTCTGAGCTGTTCTCTGACAGCCCAGTGCCTGCGTCTCTTTGGAAGAAGAGAGAGAGGCTGCTGGGCTGTCTTTGGGGTGAGCCCACCATGGGGAACCTAACCTATATGATGCAGGGAAAAGCCTGCTTTGCTCAGGCGTCTCAGCCTTTGGGTCTGTAACACAGCTTGGGGTCTTTGGGCAGACCTCTTCTTTGAAAGGTTGATTCTCCTGTTTTCTTGCAGAGCTTTCACCTGTCCTCACCCACCAGCAGCCCAGTGTACTGCCTCCGTTTCAGTACCACCCATCTGTACGCTGCCCTGGCATCAGCCCTGCACGTCCTAGACTTCACGGCCCAGTGAGGGGCACCACAGCTGCTTCTGGTCACCCCAACTCAGCAGAGTTGACACTTGGCTCAGGGAATCGCAGGGCAGGAGAGGTGAGAATGGCCCCCAAGGCTTCTGAAGGGATTTTTTGCCTGCCAGAAAGCTACATTGAAGAGTGCACAAAGGGCCAGACTTTCTCAACCTCACCTGCCCATTAGTGGAAATAAAGGCCGACTGTCCTTTACCCTTTTTATTTTGTGCAAGTCAGGGTTTGTTTAATTAACTGTGTTCTTTTTTTCTTTTTTTTTTTCTTTTTTCTGTGGATACAGCATTTGAGGGGCAAGTTGAGCCAGGATGCCCTGTCAGCTGTGTGTGCTGGTCAGGTTGAGATCAGCCAAGCTCTGAGCCATGTGAAGCAAGTCTAGGCTGTGTGTGGGGTGGACTGATTTGGTGGAAGGGAAAGGTGCCTGGAGCAGGGCCCACCTTTCACCTGCGTTTGCTCTCCTGACATCTGCTTGTGTTGTCCTTCGCAGCCAAGAGCAAGAACCAAGCTAAAAGGCAGAGCCAGCCCTGCTTTCAGTGTATGCCTCCCCAAGCTGGCCATCAGGTCGGGCTGTGCACTTGGCAGGGCTGAAGTGGTCGCATTTTGCTAAATAAAACTCTGAAGGGAAACAAAAGAGACTGTATGTTTTGTTTCAAGTTCCAAAGGGGCTGCAATGTTACCTGCTGATTGTGGAGGCCTGGCTGGGTGGAGGAGGTTGGGCCTATTTTCAGACTCTGTCTACATGTCTAATAGATCTCTCTCCCTGGCTAAACCCTGTGACACTGCTACATTGAAGGCAGTTCCTGGGATTTTGGATCTCATGTCACTTGTTCAAGCAAGAAATCGAGAAGTAGGATCTGCAACTCGCTTGCTGCCTGTATAATGAAGCAGCAAACTGGACTAAGTGCAAACACCAAGGCCTTGATGTGGTTTACTGGGATCCTGTAGGCACATCTAAGTGGGCTCCGCTCCTTTTTGTCAGCCTTCTGAACCCGAGCTGGTTCTCAGAACACCATAGCTTTCAGCGTGCTCTGTGCTGTCTGGATGAATGTGGATGTCTGTGGATGAATGTACTGTGGGTGAATTGCGGGCAGTGTCAGCGTCTGGTCCTCTTTGGGGAAGGAGGCTGTGAGTTTGGGTATCCTGGGTAGGTAAAGGAGCGGTTTTGTATCACAAACTGGGAGCGCTTCTAGGGCAAAGCACACAGCATGGTCCTTTGTTAGAATTTAATAGGTAATTTCCACTGTCATGAAGCTGCTCTTCCCTCGTGATGCACAAAAATTGGAAGAGGATGTTTGCTGGCGTCCTTGCCTGAGCAGGGAGGGAGTGGAACCAACAAGCTCCTCACCTGCTTGAAGGCAGCCCTCTGTTCCCAGTGGATGTGAGGCAGCAGCTCAGGGTGCAAAGTAATTTAAAAGCACGGCTTTGCTGCAGGATCACATTCTCATGAGGATGTTTCCAGCACAGCTCCCTGTCACAGTTCCTGATCTGTGCCTGTTCCTCTACTGCCACTCATGCCTGCTTGCTGCCAGCTCCCTTGCAGCTACCGTGGTGCTGCATACTCTCCTTGTGTAAGTGGCAGAGTTGATGTCTAAGTGCCCCAAGCAATGATCTACTGCTGTAAAAAGGTGCCATGGCTGGAATAATCCTCCATCAGCTCAGAGCTGTAGTTCCCAAAGGCTGCTAGCCCAAGACAATGATTCGGGGGCGGGGACGGGGACACCTATACTGAGCTGTTGCTGAAAAGATGGTGCTTTGCGTCAGGGGTTGCTAAATGCTGCTGTTGTATTGCTTGGAGCGCTTTGGGCTCTGCATGAGGAGAGCTTTAGGTAAGTAATTAGGCACGAGGTAGAAGACCAGAGAGAGCGAGCTGGCAGAGCTTGGGGGGGTGGTGGGGTGAGGTCTGTTTTTTCTCAGGTCCTGCTGTGTTACAAGTCCTTCAATGAAATTGGGAGGGGAGGGATGGAGATATTAAACGTCTTTGGCAGTGTCTCTTGGGGACACTGCCAAAGAGGGAAAGGTTGTGAAAGAACTGGAGTAACTGTGGGGTGGGAGGAGAGGTTCTTTATTGCACTGGGACTTGGGCAAGGCCCAGAGTAGGAATGAGTGTGTCAGCTGAGCAGGTGAACAAGTATCACTGGTGCAGGTGATGACTCCTGTGACAGCCCTTCCTGCAACGTTGCTGCTGCCAGTCCCTTCCTGCAGCCCATGTTGGTGGGTCCTGCGCTCTTGTAGCTGCTTTTAGGTTCTTCCTGGCTGAAGCCAGGAGCAGAGCTGCAGCCATGGTGGTGCCAGCACTGGTGGGTAGACAGGCGCACCTTTGCATCTTGGGTGACATTGGGGAAATGGGGAAGCTGCAAGTGGGGCTGGCATGCTGGCTCTGATGAGCTCTGCCAGTTGATGGTGCCTTCGTTGTCTTGGGAGGACTATGCAGGTGGCTCCTGGAGCCACCCAGCAGTGAGGCTCTAACTGGGGATGCCACCCAGGCTCTAATAATGAGTTTTCATGGTCTGAAAGCAGCCCTCATCAGGGGAGCTATGCTGGGAGCCCATGACCTGCTCACTTCAAAGTAGGTTTTGTTTGGGCAGGAGCCATTCAAATATGAACTGGGATGGAAGGACATGCAGAAATGTAAGCACAGGGATGGCTGGTGCAGGGTAGAGGCAGCGGCTGGTTGGAGGGCGGGTTGCTAAAGCAGCAGCACTGCTGGGGTTGTCCCGATGCACAGGGTGCTGTCTGTGCGGCGAGGTTTGTGACGGGCCATGCTCGTGCCTTCACAAAAGGAGTGTGCTACTGCTACTCCCGAGCTGGCCAGTGGCCCGTCACCCCTTGCCCCTCCGTGCCATGCAAATGAAGGCAGCTGCATTTTGGTTCCTGCGCTCTGCACGGCCGCCTGTGCTCTGCACGTCATGTTGCGCATGGCTGGCGGTAAGGAAGCATTTGGGTGTCCTCCCCTTCACCCTATTTCATAGGCTGCGCCCGTTCAGGTCTAAGCATTGATGCGGTTTGCAGAGAAGCCAGAGTCGCCAGAGCATCAGTCTAACTGCACAGAGGACCGTGCACAACAGCGCAGGAGGAGAGTGGCTTCCAAGCACATCCCAGACAGGTAACGGGTGTGAGGACGGGGAATCTTGTTTTCCAAATGTTACTGCCTTCAGCAATGGTGGCAGACAGAGGGAATTCCCAAGGGGAACTATCCAGCTTTCATGTCGCTTCTGCTCATGGAGGATGGGGAGAGGGCTGCTGGCTGTGGCGCACTTCCTTTGCATGCTGCAGCTTCCTGGAACTCATAGGAGGATCATAAATGTCTGCGTAAATCAGCAGACCAGGCAGTAAAGAGGTCGACCGCCCTGCCGTCTCCCTGGGCCTGCAAAGATTCCTCCAAACGGCTCTATTAACAACAGGACTAATTTTTATTAGAAAAGGTAAAATAAATACCGTGAAGCTATGCCAGAGAGCTGCCCCCCACCTCAGCCTCTTAGCAGCCACTGCCTACTGGGTCTTACAATCACCATCCCCATTGTTAGCTGCCTTTATCTTCTTCAGCTCCTTCTGCAGCTGCTCTTCTGCAGCCAGGATCTCCTTCGGCTTCTGGTACTGTAGGACAGAGAGAAATGCGCTTAGCACTCCTGTTCAGCCTCTGCTCCGCAGACCAGCTGGGGCCAGGCGCTACCAGCGCAGCTGGGCCCCCCCTGCCAAGGGAGGCCTTTCTGTTACCAGCTACTTCCGAAGCCTGTTTGGAGGTGGTGCCATCACGCTAGGGACATTTGCCAAGATCTGGAGTGTCTTTTACAGCACAAGTAAAACTTCCCAGCTGGATGTGCGGTCCTGGCCCCCGCCAACCCCTCTGGAATATCGTGGCAAGCTGTGTCATGCAGATCCCTGGTGTGCTCACTGATTGTATGCTCACATGTGTTTTTTATATATATAAAATATGCATTTTTTTTTTTAAAGCAGACAGAGCAGCAAGAGTTGCAGTTCCTCTGTCCTCCCTTCAGAGCCCCCTCACCCAGCTGCAGTTTAGTGGTGGATGCAGGTGTTTTTGGCAAGGGTTTGGCCCATAGCAAACAGAAGATCAGAAGGACTCAGGGTGCTCCTCTTGGCCTATTTCCTCTGCATGTGCACCCCCAGCTCTGCTGCAAGGTTTCCCTCGGAGGGCATGCTCACTGGGTAGCTGACTTCTAGATTTAAGATGAGCACCTGCTGCTCAAAAGCATCTGTCTGCCTCTGTCTGCTCCCTGCAACAACAGGTAAGTGCCCATTTTGCCAGTCTCTCACTTCCACCGTGTGTGTTGAAGTGTGTCCTCTCTGGCAGAAACCAGCAGGTGATTTTTTTTTTTTTGTGTTGTTTTTTTTTTTTAAGAATGCAAGACCTCTAAGTGCAGCAGGTCCTTGGACTCTTAACACTTATGCTCTGAGGCAAGAGAAACTTGCTGTCACTGAGAGTGGAGGCTTGCTCAGGCCTGAAGGAGGGGATACATGGAAAACGGGGCACGACAGACACTTTTCCACCTGCAAGTCACCTTAAGCAGCAAGCAGGGCCCCTCCTGTGGCCTGGGCTGTCCTGGCTAGTGTCAGCATGCCCAGTGTAATCTGAAACTCCCACTGACTGTGTGACAGAGAAGGGGGCTCATCAGTGACCCTCAGCAGATCTCCCTGCTCTGCCTCATTTCCCCACGTGTAAGAATTTTAACTTCTTTGTGGACATACAGAGAAGGGCAAAGTGCTGTTCTGCGTGGCTAAAACCTCACCGTGATGATCAGGGTGTTGTTGGCATGGGTGAAGCTCAGGGCAGCTGCATCCAAGGGGAGCTGGTATCGGTCCAGGTCAGGAATAGAAAACTTTTTGTAGTACCTACAAACAAGAAAGGAGACAGAAATGAGGAAGTTGGGGTTCCTATTCCCCCGCTAGCTGTGCTGAGCTACAGAGTGCTGTTCTACAAGGTGTAGATGAGGACAACAGACTACTTAGGGTTGGCAGGAGGACTCTGTGCCATGTTGTGTGCCTGCTGGTGCCTCCAGGCTGGCAGAAGCACTGGAAAAAAACCTCCAAACTGGATATCAGAGCTGGCAAAGGCCTGAAGGGCTTCGGTGTGTATGCTTGGGCTTGGTCCCTCCAGCTTGCCCTTGAGTAGCACCAGACGTGGTTAGGGACAGACTATTCAGCTCTACCAAGAGGTTTTATCTTTGTCAAGAGGTGTCCCTTGTCTTTGTCCCTGCTCATGGCCTCTCATTCCCTCCAAGTACCAGCTTCCATTAGCTCTTGTCAAAACAGCTGTCAAAGCCCTTGTGCCCTGTGACTTACTTTCCTGAGTGATGCACCGTTTTGTGTTACAGTCCT